TCTATATTTGCAAAATATTATCGCTGTTGAAATAAATAATTATCTTTGGCAATTTAAAAAATTCTATTCAAACTTTACTTAAAATTTAAAAAAGTATCCTATATAATTTTTATAAAAGAAAATACTATCCTGTCATAAAACAAATATTTTAGAATCTGTATAATAAAAGTTTCATGAAAATAATTTAGGAACATTTATTAAAAAAGATTCTATACGATAATTATCCTAATTATTATTAATCTAATTATTAGGTACTAGTTTTATTTAAAAATATAATGTTATATCATTGAAAATTCAAATTAATCTACACTATTATGCAATAATCAATTAACTAACAGTGACAATCAAAACGCAGATATATATGTACTACTTTATACATGTCATATATTATAAAAAACTGTAGTATTGTATTGAAAAAATTGAATTTTCATTTTAAAAAAATAGTGCAGATACAAAATTTTATTTATTTTATCTGCCATTATATATTGCTTATAAAATATAGTACTACTTTTTCTTTTTTATTTTTTTCTTATACTTGCTGTAAAACAAACTGTCTAATCCGTGAACACTATATATCACATTTCAAATTATCATAGTGATTCTTGCATTCCATAATTAATTTTAGGTTTAATTTCTTTAGTAATAAACTGGGTATATTCATGCATATTTAATTACTCAAATAATTCAACTTTTCGAATCGTCTTGGTTCCAATTAATTCTGATAATTGACGCTCTATATTACGAATAAATAACACATTTAAAATTACAAATAAATAACATATTTAAAATATAAATTTGTACAAATCTTATATGTCAAAATATTCAGAATATATGTGCAAAAAATGTGTAAAATATACAAAATTTATTTAAAATAATATGCTGTAATAGGACTCTTACAATGTTTGGAGAAGAAGAAAACAATAAAGTAAAATAGATATAAAGCGCTCTTTTGAATACAAGCTAGAATTGACTCGACAGAATTAATTTAAAATATCCAAATCTAAAAAAATTAAATGAAAAAAATAATATTCTATTATATCAGTGGTGCTCTGAAAGATTTTTTGGTATACCACTACAATCGAAAAAAGATTAGATGTAAAACAATGTTAGTGTTTTTAAATGAGAATCAGGATTAGATACTTTTGTATGTTATTATTCTTTACATTTTATTTAATTGTAGTTAATAAAAATAAAAACATAAACAAGAAATTTCTTTTATAAAATCAACACTTCAAGTTTTGAAACATACGAGTTTCAAAAGTTTCGAAACCTTACAAAGTTTTGGATTTGAATTTAGAAATTAGTGTCGAACTAATCCCTAATTATAATAAAAATATTAAATGATCAACGTAATTGTTAACCGTAGCGATAGCTTATGTCTCATGGAACTATTTTAGTTGAAAACAAAATAGTTTCTAATGCAATTTTTTTGAATAATTTTCGCAAGAAAGGTTTTAAGCTCAATTGGAAAAGAATCGATACGTTTCAAATGTTCTGTTCACTTAAAGTATTGTTCAAAGATAACACGTTGCCGAGCACAAATTGAGTAGGTATTTTGCGAGACCACGAATTCTTAGGCAATCTATTGTTTTTATACTTTTTCTATGTTTTTGTTTTTTATTTCTTTTTCTTATGTTTCTGTTTCTTATTCTTTTTGTTAAGTTTATGACATGTACGTGCTTCAGTGTTAGCTTGTCAAATTAGAAGTTTTTAGATATTTTAGATATTTTTGCTTGTTTTAGATATTTTTTGCATTCCTCAAGTGTAGATTGAAAATATAGAGAATTTGCAACGAGACCCTTAAGTCCCATAATGTTTTTTCAATATATCACAAATAACATTTATTATTACAATATTATGTATTTTTATGTAAATAATGCAATTACTATTTCAAAATAATTCAAAAATTTACTATATTATTGTCATATCATTATTTGATATCGATTATTTAATATTTTTAAAAATAATTTAATATTAAAAATTTATTTTTCTACTAAATATTTCTAGCTTTAAGATTTAAAAATAAGATCATCACCCAATGGAAATTTGACTCTCATTCAAATATGAGTGACGCGGTAATCAACATGTTAAATGTTAATAATACTATAAAAATATATAGCATCTTGGTCGAGATTATTTTCCAAAAATTTGAGTAACTTTACAGTAAGTAAATAATAACTGTAACTAAAAAATAAATTGAAATAAAGTAAATACAAGTAAAATATAAAAATTGTAAATTTGCATTGTTTCAAGATCGATTTACTTTAAAACTGAGAGTGATATAAAAAATGATTTTTATATTCGTATGCAACGTACAAGACTTCTCTATCACAATTTCATAATCTTAAGTCGAACGAAATAATCAGAAAATTATTAGTTACTGCACTTGCTGCCAAAATTACTTATTAATTATTGCAACACAAACCATATGTCATATAGTGTAATCTTGTAATCTTTTCTTATTTTATAGAACAGTAGATTATTTATACAAGGAAAATTTCACTGGGAAATACCGACGAGACACTAGACGTAAGATAAATTGGCAATTTTTATATTTCAAATGCCTGAAATATCTCGACTGCGATAACCCAAGCAATCAGTTCTTAAATAATAATATAACGAATTGACAACAACAATTTATTCATATATACAATTTATTTACATCTCTGTCATAATTTCACAATTTTAAGTCGAATGAAATAATCAGAAAATTTGTAATTTCGAAACATTCTTAGCAAAACCACGTTTCACGAAATATAAAAAATATATTACATGTTAATTAATTTGTTTCATTAATTTCTCACGTAAATTACAGAAATATCAAAATTATTTTTTATTATTATTGAAATTCAGTTTGACTTGTATTTAACTCTCCAATAATGGCAAAGATGGATTGTGTTCTAACAAATGAAACATTTTAATATATGGATCACGCTAACAAGGTTCCCTGATGACGCACCTATTTTCGTATATACATATAAATGCATATGACTTCCGATCTTTGTTATCATTGAAAGATACAGCAATGTTCTCGAATCGCATTTATTATTTATGGACATATGTCATGATGCATTTACTGTATGTAAATTCAGTGTTCGATAGCAACTTCACAGAAAACGTGGAAGGTTATCGATGTAATTAATAAACAACAGAATCACAGATTGAAAATATCGCGGATATATAAAGCGAAGCTATCAATCAAATGGTTGGTAGAAAGATTCTGGTGCAATAACACACGAGAAACATGTTTTCTAAATTGTTCGGTTTCTTGTTCCTTTTAATCGTCATGATTGCGATGGTTGTTGTTGCTGATTCTGGTAAGTTCTTTTCTGAAATATTCACAGTCTATTTATTTAAGTTCTATTTATTTTAATCATATAGCTATTTATTTAATTGTATAGCATTAATAACATTGATCATTTTTCGTCAGGAGAAAAAGGAGAATGTGTACCTGGTAAAAGTTATTATGACGGATGTAATACTTGTTATTGCCATAAAAGTGGATTTATAGGCTGTACTTCGATGTCTTGTAAAGAAATCGATCCTGAAACTGGTGTTTCCAAAGAGGTTCAGAAAATACCACCCCCGCCTAACTTTTGGAAGAATTCAGTTGTTTAAATTGATATATATTGGACAGCATAAATTAGACCATATTTACAGTGAATTATCTTATATTTGACTATTAATAACTGATAAACTAACAAGATATAAACTGTTATTTTTTATTATTTTATATTTGATTATTAATAAATAAAATATAAAAGAGATGTTCAAACTCAAAAGAAATAAATTGTTAGTTTAAAAATTCCATTAAATGTTTAATATTATTTTCTTTGCCACTTTTTCACACTTATAAATATCGGATATGTGCTAAATTATATTATGCAATGATATCTTTGCACTTTCTTTATTTGTCGTTGCCTAATTATATGATGAAGAAAAACTACATTGCTCGGAAAATAGAAACAACTTATTATATTGTGATATTAATCCTTAGTCTTATGATCTTTTTTCCAAACTTCTTAAATAAGCATTAATTATTATAATTATAACATCATGTTGGATGTAAAGTATTGAAACACTGTATGTGATTGGTACCTTCTAATTTTGAAATTAGAGAATTTAAATGTAAAACTTTTATCCGTGGCATTGTAATTTTTTTTCTTTTTTCAAACCGAGATCATAATTTGTATCACGAACGTGACTTGATATTTTAGGAGGTTAGGAGGTTAACCTTATTTAGAGGTATTATAATATAGTATGTAATTTTGTGTATTATAATGTGTATATAATCTTATGCATGTATGTATATAACCTTGTAAGAGGTATTATAATATACATATATATCTACGTGTAATACATAAAAAAATACATAAATACATAGAAAAATCCCATTATGTAGAAAAAAAGTTTCAAATAAAATGTCCTTTTTTTAAAGAGAAACGTCTAATGATGATTGCTAGAGACAATTTTTATGGAATTTCATATTTTTATAAAGATAATTAAATAAATGAAATTTATATCTATAGTTTTATTTAGATGGATATATAATCTGTTCCATGATGAATCTATCAAGCTAAATATCGAATGATCTTGGTGTTCCAACATCATTCTAGATTATTTATTGCTGTTCAAAACTTATCTTCATTGAATGTAGCAAAATTTAATTCTTCGGAATATTTCGTTGATTCAGTCATGAACGTCAAATTAAATTAATAATATGAATTATTGTTACTTTTGTTTATATGACAACAAAGGATATCAGCTAGTATGTAGATATTCTCAGTTATAATTTCTCAAAGGAATCATATTACTATAGTCGACAGTACGTGTTTTTCGCTTCGATATCAATTTAATTTACGATAACTTATTATATATCGAATGAAATTATTGATATGATTTGACCTTTAAGAAAAGATCAAGGAAATTAAAAACTGCATGTTTATGCAGTTTTACGAAAGATTTCTCAGTCGTCAGCATCCAATATGACTATTCGAGATGTGAAGTTCGTTGGAGAGAATTGATGCTAGATGAAATGCTATTTTAAATATGTATAATCCTATTTATTTTAAAGTATATATATATATATATATAGAGAGAGAGAGAGAGAGTTTCGAAAATGAAATATTTTGTTTGATACGGAATAAATTTTTAAACTAACATTTTATTTGAAGAATATTGAAAATATTTGTATTTTGTCTTAAAATATTTTATTTTCTTTATTTTAAACATTGTTGCTGAAAATAACGATGCATATTCAATATCTATAAGTATAGTTTCTTAATCTTTTTTTACTTGCTGTGCATCATATATCGTAATCCAACTGAATGATTTTTTTATGTGCAAAAATAAAATAGAAGAAATAGTGCGACTTTTCAGTTTTAAAACATATTCAACTTTCTACTTATTATTAACTTGTCCTCATTTTAATTTCTTTTAATAAAAACTCTTAAGTTTTAGGTTAAAGAGTGAGTCAAATAATTATATTACTTATAACCTAATAATTTAAGATTAAAGTGTTTTATTTTATGTTAGATTTTATTTTGTTTAAATTGGTTTGTTAAAATGAAAATATATTTTTTTTAATTTTTATTTATTTCAAAAATTGTTGGAAATGTTTTGCATTCAATACACAGTGCTCTTTCTTAAGTTCCTATGAACATTATTATAACGTGTTTTGCTATTTTATTGTGTTAAATACAGAAACAATCTTTTCTTTTAATTGATCAATACTTGTAATTTCTTGGTACACAATTGGCTTGATATGTCTTTATAAGTAAAAATCAAGAGGATTTAGATCAGGAGATCGTTGAAAACATTTCCAACAATTTTTAAAGTAATTCGTGACATTGAAAATATTTATACAAGCATCGACAGTAATATTCGTTTGTTAACAGATAAGATTGGTAAGTCAAGCCTTACTTAAATATATAGTGCTAGATAAAAACTTTAGAGTTGATTTTCTCAGAAACGAAACGTCAAACTAAAAAAAATTTTATTTTTTTTTTTTGACTTATTTCTTCTCGTAGAATCTTATACCAGTTGCAATCCTGTATAAATTATGAATGATACAACGAAATTGATAACCTTTAGGAATAGATTTTGAATCCACGATTTGATAGAATATTTCATTGTCAGCTAGAAATTACAAGTATTATACAAAAATGGCAAAATGTATTTATGAACATTTTATGGAAAGAAAAGAAAACAAGCGATCTGGCAGACTATCAATGACCTTTTCGATCGTTGAAAAAATTTCGCAGACATTTCAATATTTTCAGTTAGAATGCGATAAAAATTTAATTTTCAGGCAAAGCAAACATAAATATGTTAAATATTGAAAGAATCAAGTATATTGAATAAATATTGAAAGAATCTGTATGATGCTCCAACAAAATACTAATGGCTTTTTTCTGTTTAACCAGATTATATTTTAAGCATGTATAAAAACTAACATTTGTTGAATCTATAAAAAATTTTTTTACCTTCATTTGTACGGAAATACATATTAACTAAATATTATAGCTGTGCCATATGTCTGCCTTGAAGCTAAAAAACTTTCCCGAACAAATATTTATCCAGATATGTTAAAACTTTTTTGACTCTTTTAAATGCAACAGTAAAAATAGTTTTTAATCGAAATTCAATAGAAAAGATTTGTTGTCTATTGCCAATGATAAAAGATTTATAAGTCTTATTGTATTTCTATAATGCAAATAACCATTGGACATATATTTTAGCATTTTCTATGATTGAACACAACATTTTATTTAACAGTTTTTATCATAGTTTCATTCACACATTTAAGCAATGATTAGTATATACAAAAACACACAATAAAACATTTCAATTAATGTAAAACTAATGTATTAACATACAATGAATCATACAGATACAGAAAAGCATAATTGTATTAATAAAAAAAATGTTGATAATTATAATCCACTCAATAAATAATTGAGTCATTTGATCTTATTTCAAAACGTATGGACTTTACTTTCACAGTCTTAAGTTC